GAAAACAGGAGATCAACTTCTCTAGCGAGCAAAAATCAAACCTAATTAATTCAGCCAACTCCTCAAATGCCAAACATGTTAGTATTGCTACAATGTGCTGTTAGACGGTACAAGAGAAGGGACCCATGAACGACGATTCCAAAACAATCGACCGAACTCTAACCGATTCGGGCCGAACCGTTCGTCGGAGCAGAACGTGCCCTCAACAACCGATAATTCTTGAACCGAAGTTCAAGATTAACCGCGCGAACATGCATCTATACTATGCACGAACATACGTTGCTACGCGGCCAGTTCGACGCATAAATGCGCGTGCCACATATGAGCCATTGTGCGATTCGTGGCAATGCTGTGTTGACACGCGACGCGAAATATGCAAAAGCCATCCGCGGCACGATGACGGCATCGACGACGCGACAAACCGTCCGCGACACGATGACAGCATCAACGATACGATGAGTCGTCTGCGACACGATGACCGCAACGACGACGCTGGGTACTTGGTTTCCTCTTCACAATAAACCTTTAGGACGCTTAGGACCTTAAGGCACCGTCCAGGTACTTAAGCCACTCCACCCCGTCAGGGTGTACCTATGGGAGGGTTATATTATATAATATATAATTTTGTAATATGATATATAATTTGAGAGGGAGAAAAAATATATTTTATAATTGAGAGATTATTGCATCCTTCTTTTCCCTCGATTAAATGAGATGCGATATAGATATATTTTTAAAAAACAAGCATCAAGTACTGAATATGTTAAACCTTGATATGTTAAAAAATTAATACGTATTAAATAATACGTTTTAGAATTAATCATTAACAGCGCGTTAATTAATTTTTTCAAGTTCATTTAATCGGTGATAGATATATTGTCAGGTTTTTGCAAAATGTCTTACGAAAAGTCGCGATATTTTTCGCAATATTAGTTTTAACAAATAATTAATATTAAGAGCGTCTCTTATATCGCGTTAAATTCTTCTCAGAATTTAAATTATACAGCAGAAAATGCTAGAAACTACTTTTCTCGGAAGACAGATGTGTATTTATGCGTGAAATAGTGATTTCCGAAACGCGGAGGTCTATTTTAATATATTTTTATATATAGTTTTAACCATGTTATTTCGATTTGGAAGGATCGAGGAGCTATCGAGGAAATGAGGAAGGAACAATATGTCTATCTTGATAATTAATATAAATTTTAAATAATTTATAAATTACTTACCGCATATTGTTGGTGCGTTGCTCCCAAACTTCCTTTCTCCTTGCTCTCATCTGCTATTTTCTTATAGCACTCACATTCACTCGCTAAAACACAATTAATTAGTCGTATACACAATGATTGCAAGACTTTGCACGGCACTTCTGATCGTGGAACAATCGGAGATACGCATTTTATTATTGTCGCGATACAGTTTTATATTATTAATCAAAAGCTAATTAATTGTTAATTGTAATAATTAAAATAATAGCAATTATACATCAATAATATTTGCGATCACGTTTAGGAAAGGAATTTGACAAGATACGAAACGTTTCGCACTATTACTTTACTGCTCGAGTGTCGTCGTACAAATGATAACAAGGCCGAAGCAGGTAAACATTAGCGCGCTATTGTTTACGCCGCCGCGATCGAACACCATGTTATTGATAATTTGCTGCTGAAATATTTTACTATATATATACTATGACGTATATACAAGCGGAATATTAAATTATACAAATATTTTAAATTATAGATCATTTGTTTAATAAAAGATTAATATATCACGGAGATTATCGTTAATTACTCGGACCTGCGATTCGACTATTTTATTGTGCGTTCTCAATCCGAATCATATTTAAATCGTCAAAAAGTTAAACGATGAAGCATCGGATGAAATATAACTAAACTTCAAGTATTTTTAAAGAAATAATTATTGTTTATAAAGGAAAAGAAAGATCACTACAAAATAATAAATTATAATTTTGATTCCTGTCACTTCGAATTTTGATTAAATGTATATACATCCTGCGAAATACGCGCCTCGAGATTTATCGTTGCGATATAATTACGTATTAAAAGTATGTAAAAGATAATTAATATTTATCATATCAAATTATTTTCCGATACTTGTCGCGATCGCGTTTGGAAAAGGAATTTGACGGAGTGTCTCGCTTTATTACCTTACTATTCGAGTGTCGTCGTGAGAATGATTAGCCATAAGTAGTAATACGTTAACAATAGCGCGCTAATGTTTACGCCGCCAAGGCCGAATACCATGTTATAGATAATTCGCAACCGAAAATATTTTTTGCGTATTATGACGTATATACAAGCGGAATATTAAATTATACAAATATTTTAAATTATAGATCAATTATTTAATAAATTAATATGTCTCGAAGTTTATCGTTATTTTAATTACTCGGACCTGCGATTCGACTATTTTTTTATACGTTTTCAATCCGAACCATATTTAAATCGTCGAAAAGTTAAACGGAAAAGCATTGGACGAAATATAATTAAACTTCAAGTATTTTTAAAGAAATAATTATTGCTTATAAAAGTAGAGGAAAATTGCGACAAAACAATAATTTACATTTATAATTTTGATTTCTGTCACTTCGACTCTTGATTAAATGTGTATACATCACGCGAAATACGTGTCTCGAAATTTATTGTTGCGATATAATTATATATTATTAAAGGTATGTAAAAGATAATTTATATTTATCATATCAAATTATTTACCGATACTTGTCGCGATTCCGTTTAGAAAGAGAATTTGACGGAGTGTCTCGCTTTATTACCTTACTATTCAAGTGTCGCCGTGAGAATGATTAGCCATAAGTCGTAATACGTAAACAATAACGTGCTAATGTTTACGCCGCCGAGGCCGAATACCATGTTATTGATAATTCGCAGCCAAAAATATTTTGCGTATTATGACGTATATACAAGCGGAATATTAAATTATACAGATATTTTAAATTATAGATCAATTATTTAATAAACGATTAATATATCACGGAGCTTATCGTTATGTTAATTACTGCGATTCGATTATTTTATTATGCGTTTTTAATCCGAATCATATTTAAATCGTCAAAAAGTTAAATGAAAAAGCAGAATGGACGAAATATAATTAAACCTTAAGTATTTTTAAAGAAATAATTATTACTTATAAAGGGAGAGAAAGATCGCGACAAAACAATAATTTCCATTTACAATTTTGATACCTATTACTTCGACTCTTGATTAAATGTGTATACATCATACGAAATATACGCTTCAAAATTTATCGTTGCGATATAATTACGTATTAAAAGTATGTAAAAGATAATTAATATTTATCATATCAAATTATTTCCCGATACTTGTCGCGATCGCGTTTGGAAAAGGAATTTGACAAAGTGTCTTATGCTCTACTACTTTACTGTTCGAGTGTCGCCGTGTGAATGATTGGCCATAAGTCGTAATACGTTAACAATAGCGCGCTAATGTTTACACCGCCAAGGCCGAATACCATGTTATTGAATCGTTGCCGAAATATTTTAGGTATTATGACATATATATATATATATA